GTTAGTAGCTCGCGTCGTAAAGCCCGTAAACGTTACTTTAATGCCCCTTCTCACATCCGCCGGCGGCTTATGAGCGCTCCTCTGTCGAAAGAGCTTCGATCTAAGTACAAAGTTCGGAGTATGCCTATCCGTAAAGGTGATGAAGTACAGATTGTTCGAGGTGAGCGAAAGGACCTCAATCCTGCAAAGGTCATCCGTGTTTACCGGAAAAAGTATGTCATCCATATCGAGAGGCTCCAATGTCGTAAAATGAATGGTGCATATGCACCTATCGGCATTCACCCATCTAATGTAAGCGTTAATTTTAATGTTTATTTTCATGTTCTCTAGGTCGTGATACATAAATTAAAGTTGGATAAAGATCGCCGCTCATTGCTGGAACGCAAAGCTGCCGGAAAACTTGCTGGCCAAGACAAGAATAAATACACAGAAGAAACTATTGAATCGTGATTCGTAATACATATTTTTGTGGTAATTATGTTTTGACTGTCTTTCCGATCGTTTGTGCCAGTATCCGTTGACTGCTTGTGGGTTTAATCAGTCCGTCGTACCCTGTTTAACGTAATTCGTTATAGTCCTGACATATACAACAAAACGTACGCTTATCTATCTGGTCCTCATATAATGCTGTTAGCATTGCTAAAATCATCTCTTCTAACTGCTCACCAAGTTAGCTCTGTTCAATCTTGTTAGTCGGTTGTAGAATTGTTAGGCACTTGTATACAACTGTCTATTTATTAAGGGCTAACTAAAAGGCATAACATTGTGCCTACTAAATGTATAAATTTTTTCAACTACTGCTTCTCATACATCTTAAAATTTTAGATCTGGGGTTCTGTTGAACATGGGTGTGGATTCATTTTAATCTGTCTATGGTGTTACAGTCGTAATAATCTCGACAACAAAGGGAGAATACTCTGTTTTCTGTGAGTTGTCTTGACTTTTGGTCAGACTAATTAATAGCCATTTTATGTACATCGTCGGCCTGATTGTCGAAATAAACTACAATTGTCGGTTCAAATTAATGGTAACGTTAATCGGCAGATGAATTTAAGCGTCTTTAATGAGCGATTTGAAAAGTGAAAACCAATGGTTACATGGTAGCAATCAATCAGTTTTTAACTGTAACCTAACAGTTGTTCGTTGACCGTAGTTACCCGGGCGAAACTACCTGAGTGGTATAACAAAATAAGTACTAAGGAACTTTAGGAAACAGAAGTATCAATGATAGTAATAAACAAACACTGGGGAATCTAGCGTGTAGGCTTCACAGATTTTGGTCGACATTCGGGACTGCAACGTATAGGTTTCTGTTATCGTGTCCATCCCAAATAAGTTACTTTGTCATAGGGTCGCTACAAGTCTGAGTGTATTTGTTATGTGGATACTGGGGTTCGATATGAATACGTTCTGATCGGATGCTCATCAGGCGGATGTACCTGCAACCCAGTGTTGAAGTTTGCACGAGACCGGGCTCCAGTACTTTTTTATAAACATATTATCCAAGCTACCTGATGGTTCTGGCTTTGGGTTTGCGTAGATACAGTAACTAACAAAACCCAAATCTACATACCAAAGATTAACTTTTACAGAATGGGTCCGAGAAACGACATAATATTGGTACTGAATATTTGTGGCGAGTTGATCCGTGAATATTTAGCTGGAGCTTTCCGGTCGCGCATAGTCTGGTCCTGCAGGATTTACTTAAACGAATCACTGGTGATTTCATTAACTGCCCTATTCTCCACTGGAAGTAGCAGGCATAAGTATGTTTTGTCTTTGCTACTTCTAGTTTTCTTCCTAGGTGTCCGTATTGTATGTATTTACGTTGAGAATAATCGGATATATGCCTACATGTTTTGCGCTGGACCGTCAGTAGTCGATAAGATAATGTGTCTGGCAGTTGCGAGAACTAGTGGTGGCCCGTTTTATGAAATTGACCTATTTGAGTAATGTCAGGGTGGGTTATGCTAATCTAGACTATCTCAAGCCTGGTTTTAAAGGACCTAATGCTTAGCCATTAATCCCCAGTCGGTCTTTCGGGTACACGCGAGCAACCCTTCGAAGACATCTAGGATCAAATAACAGTAAACTGTGAATGTCCTGTCAACTCAGTGTTGTTTACGAAAATGAGAGGACGAAAAGCGAACGTCCGGCGCTATAACCGGATCCCAATTCTATGGTGCACATGGGCTCCAGTATCCTGAAGGAACAAATGGCGTATGAACCAACTTTTGGTCACCGGCTTCCATGGGACTGCATCTCCTCACGATGCTCCACTGCCTTGTGGACTAGACCTTTAGGTCAAAGGCTCGGGGTGTGGCCCCCTAAGAAAACCACCTGCTTCGGTTTGGGCACCCGGGCAGTATCTCAGCCCACGCACTAAAACCATGATGAACTATCTGCTTATGGAAAATATTCGTTTCTCTCCGACTAACATTGAAATGAATGGTATTATTATTATTATTTACTACGTCATTTATTCACTATCTCCTATTTCTACTTTTTGTATCCGTTTCGACTCAGACAGCAGCTCGCCTATGGTGAAAATTCAGCTTTATCTAAACGTTCTCGAGTCACTGCCTGGTTGAAAATTGTATGTTGCCACCGAATACGAGTACTGAAGCAGTTTTTCTGAAACCACGTACACCATTCAAACTGGCTGCCTTCAACGTGTTGTGGGTTTGCAAAACGTCCCGCTTACAAGCACTGGGTTTCTTCTGGTTCCTTACAACTTATTGAAGCCCGTCGGTCTACTCCGGGTGACCGTGAGTTTGACCACAGACGAAGGTTGTTACGTAATGAAATCGGGCAAAGTTTGCGTAAGGACCGAGAAGCCTGGTGGTCGGAGCGTGCCAGTGAGCTGGAAGCAGCAGCTGCATCTGGTAAATACCGGAAGCTCTTCCAACTCATCCGAGCCACTGGCAGCAAGAAGTCTGGTGTGAGCGAAACAATCTGTGGGGATTACGGAACGCCAATCATTAACATCCATCGACGTCTTGGACGATGGGCATAATTCTTTGAAGGGCAGTTCAACTGGCCTGCTGCTCCGGCAACATCGGTCAGACTGTCCTGCCCTCCATGGCCGGTGACGACTGATCCACCAAATGAGGCGGAAGTCCGCATGGAACTCCAACTCTTGAAACGTTACAAATCACCGGGCCCAGACGAATAACCTCCGGCTCTTTTTAAAGATGGTGGTGACTTTCTGACTAAGGGACTGACGACGTTGTTTACAAAGATCTGAGAACTAGAGAGTGTACCAACGTCATGGAATGAGTCGATAGTTGTCCCTATATTTAAAAAGGGTTCACGTCGTTCCTGTAACAACTATCGGGGGATAAGTCTACTTCCGATTGCGTCCAAGCTATTGGCTTCTGTCATACTTCGTAGATTGTTCAGAACCCGAGAAAGATTGACTCGCGAGGAGCAGGCTGGGTTTTCGTTCCGGTCGAGGATGTATTGATCATATCTTCACCCTCCACCAAGTGTTAGAACACCGCCATACTTATCAAAGGCCAACAATCGTAGTGTTTCTTGATATCAGGGCTGCCTTCGATTCGTTGGACAGAACTGTTATCTGGGATTGTGTATTGAAGAAGGGTGTGCCTGAGAAGTTTATTAACATCCTAAAAGCCCTATACACAAACACCTCAGGCAGAGTGAGGGCATACAACCACCTTTCTCCACTATTCCATTAAAGCAGTGGAGTTAGACAGGGTTGCCCAATCTCACCATTCCTCTTCAACTTTGCCATCGATGACATTCTGGAAACAGCTCTGACGGATGTAAGTAATGGTGGTGTGGATCTGTTGCCTGGAGAAAGACTTCTCGACCTTGAGTATGCGGATGATATTGTCTTACTGTGCGAGAATGTTCAAGCCATGCAATCCGCACTTAATCAGTTGGCAATCAGTGTCCGTAGGTATGGTATGTGCTTTGCACCTTCGAAGTGCAAAGTTCTTCTACAAGACTGGCAGGATTCTAATCCTGTACTCACTCTGGATGGTGAGCAGATAGAAGTAGTCGAGAAGTTCGTGTATCTAGGTAGCTGCATAAGTGCTGGTGGTGGTGTGAGTGATGAGATCAATGCACGTATAGTGAAAGCCAGAGCGGTTTATGCCAATCTGGGCCATCTTTGGCGCCTTCGTGATGTTAGTCTGGCTGTAAAAGGTCGGATCTACAACGCGACGGTGAGAGCAGTTTTGCTCTATGGTTGTGAAACCTGGCCTCTTCGAGTTGAGGATGTTAGATGACTCTCTGTGTTCGATCATCGTTGTCTCCGAAGGATTGCTGGCATCCAGTGGCAACACCATGTCAGTAATGCAGAGGTTCGGCATCGAGTGTTCGGTCACAGAGACGATAATGAAATTGGTGTCACCATCTTAAAACACCGACTTCGGTGGCTTGGACATGTTCTACGAATGTCGTTCCAGAGAATTCCACGTCGTGCATTATTTGCCGACTCTGGGACTGATTAGAAAAAGCGGAGAGGTGGTCAGTATATGACATGGTGTCGTGGTATGAAAGAAAGCTGCAAAGGACTAGCTTCTGTTGGTCCTTCACGACTCCCTGGCTGGGGTCCGAGAGACGGTGTAACGCAGTGGCTAGAGACATTATCAGATATGGCTCAGAATAGAAGCCAGTGGCGATCCTGCTGTAACCTTTTACTTTCTTCATAAAAAGTGGTTGTATCTTCCTTAACTGAAAGATTTCTGCTGATTGTACCTTTCCGTTTCCCCCACCATTGTTCTCTCTCTTCTTTTTATAATTCCCCACGTTCATTACTTTTTTTTCTCTTTTCTCCTTCTCTTCAAATTATCATTGTTTTGTGTGGCGCATATATATTTGGTGCCCCCCTGTACCAATATTTATGTGTTCAAATAAATAATAAATGTCAACTCAGTGGACTTTACAGCCATAATGCCAAAAACAACCCCGTTGGTTGGCAAATTAATATCTCACTTTTACCACAAGTTCGGATAGTTGACAGAAGCTAAGGCGGCTTCATCGATTGGCCAACCTGTTCGTACGTTTCCTTGACCCTTATTCTTATATAGTACCGATTGTCTGCTGATATAAGATGTCTCAAGCCGAAGTAATATAGATTCCTGATAAGGCTTACATTGTTAATAACTGACTGTATAGACAATTTCTTGAGACATTTTGTAATACCTTTATTTACTAATGACGTCACAAATAGGATACCATCATTTGAAATAATAGGATCTTTAACTTACACATTAAAATCGCCTTACTATTTCCCCTATAATTATCGTAATGGTTGTTAACTACACAATTTGACTCCTAATTATTAGCCTATAAGTTTGAGCCTTGTTACACCGACTTTGGCTTGTAAAATTATATAACATAATGAGCTCTTATTGTCAAGTACATAAAACTGTACTTATACACTGCAAAATAAGTCAACAATTAGTAATAATACCACTAATTTTATAATATACACGATGACAACAATTACAATACTCAAAAACTATTGACTTCAAAAATGAAATGTCAACAGATAATAAAGATACACTTGGAAAAATAGTGAGGGGTGCACAGAAAATCTTCATGTGTAGAATGTTCAAATATACAATTTGTTGTTTCATAGAGATTTACATAGTTAGAATAACTAATTCAATTGGTAAAAGATAAGAAAAAAGTATTTTATAATATCGGTTTGTTTTTAAATCTTAATAAGAAAGGCAGTAAAAAAAAAAAGAAGAAAGAAACATCCTGGGGAAAAACAATTGATCATTGATATTTAGTTTCAAGTTAATGGGTGCATATAATTTGATGATGATGTAAGAGCTCTAGGATCTTTGTCAGATTTTTTAAAATTTTTCAAAATTGGATAAATGTTATTAAAAGCTTCATAGATTTCTTCACGAACCTTTGCTCCTACATAGAATAAACAAAGAAATAATATATATATATAATGTTAATAGTTTTAGGGTTGGCTGGTAAAATTGTGAATCTCCTCAATTAATATTCTAAGCGTAATTTCTTATGTAAGTATATCGCTATACCATTAATAGCTGTAGGATAACTTCATTTTCACCTCTTGATTTTCCCTGGGTCACTGTGTGTATGATAAACGTACAACTAGCAATGAAACTATTTAGCTTGTATACACTGAATTCCAAGTTTCAAAAAATCCCTTTATCTACTTCAGCTTAAGCAGAAGTACTTGTATATGAACGTGTTCTTGATCAGTGATTACGGTGTTCGACTTCCAACCGCAGTTTTGACCACAACCCTAATTACTTAGGTCTGGATAGTCCACTATTATCATTGGGTCTTAGACTTGAACTGGCTAGAAACCAAGTACATAAATCTGTAGATAGTAATGAGTTATTAGTAAAACTTGGTCCTTTAGTGCTATCCAGACTAATGTCAAATATTGTTCTTTAGTTAGCTTTTTCTTATCCTGAATTAAATAGGATAATACTAAATATATTGAACTGATGTTGACAATGTCGTCGATGAGAAGTCACAAACTAAAACAACAAATACTCAGTGCTCTAGTCTTCAGTATTTGTATCTAGTTGATGATTACGAGGCTAATAAAAACTACCATGCACTTCTATTAATTTGTCCGTCTTAATCACTATATTTATAACAGAACAATTCTGAAAATATGATGACTGGAACTGAAGCTATAAATAGCTAGATTTAGGCACGAGCACTATGGATTTAATAAAATATTGATGCTTGTTATCACATTCATCTGAAGTAGTATTTTAGTTTCTGGCAGTCAGTCCTAAGCTTGTGGAACCTAGCACATATTTGTCCCAAGCCCCTACATCACATTAACACCAAAATATGAATACTAAAGTATTAGTATCAGTGGTAGTACAAAGCTTTGGTGCTAAAGGTGATTCGCGGGATAAGACAAGATAATTTTGACATTCACAATCTAAGAGTAAAAAAGTGGATTTGTGCTATTGCCTGTTTTATTATTTTATTTTATTATTATAAGCTTTATTCAACATTATATTTGTGGTACACTATTGAATTCTCAGCATAAGGTATTTCAACAAGTTTCCTTTTCTTATATCTTGATCGATCCTGACGATAAATGTTGAGTGATGGCCAGTTAGATGCTAGGAGTTCGATAATCGACATCTGAATAATGTTCATTCGTTTCAATGCATATTGCAAACCACCATGATGTCGCTGGTTGTACCTTTTTGTAATCCGTACAGCGAAAGGTTGTAAACTTTTCGTAAACGCGCCTGAATAGGTTGTGAGCTCAATAGACATAATAGTGTGTTAAAACAAACAAGAAAACAGATAACTTGACGAAATATCTAGATGGGAGGAACAGGTAGCCCAGATATTCAAGCAGGCCGCCGATGTTCCGACCCCAATCAGATGTCTGCATTTACGAAAACATCTTAGATTGGAAGTCACTGATTTTATGCATTGATACCACATTTTGGTTTGGCTTCCCCTAGCTGTAAGTAGATGTGTAGCTTCAGTCAGAGTAAATAATGATGGGCTGCCCTGGAATACATTTGTTTGAAGTTGAGAATGCAGATGACTGGATTCTGACACGATGGTTTGACTATAACTTCCCGAGTACAAGTCCTAATTTTGTGGCATAGTGGATGACCACTCCTAAATAATTCCGATATGCAACAAAACAACTGGCTCCTTAGTCCACCATACCACACAAACTCTTAATGAAAATACTAAGGATTTGTATAATTTAAAATTTAGCATCGTTAGCATGTTAATTCTTCCACTTATACGATAACGTTAAAGCCATATGTGGTCCTTCTTATCTACCAATGGTTTCAAATGGAGATTAACATATCTTCAAACCATACTTGCTGGATTCATTTGCATTAACAAATTCATGAATACTAATATTAGTAACAATAACACGTAGTACGAATGAGTTATTCTTATGTAATACAGAAATAAATTCACTTTTTCTTACCTGTTAAAACAATCTTCCCAGAAACAAAGACTAATAAAACTATCTTTGGTTTAGTCATACGATAAATTAACCCAGGAAATAATTCTGGCTCATATCTAAAATTAGAAAAGAACAATCCGAATGAGATATGATCGAAATGTGTTGATTCACTACAATGACAAACATGACATAAACTACTTCAGAACATTTGATATGGTAGATAAAACATATTAATGCAAGTTACCATATACACGTTAAACCCGAGAACATTATACTTCCGTTTGGTCGAACTAGCTATTGTTAATAGAGTGCAACTATCGATCCAGCACGACTCCCTCTTTGGTCCTAGAGATGGTGCAACTTAATGGCTTGAGGAGTTACCAGACATTTTGAAATAGGAGTCAGTAGAGATCGTAATGTGGTTTTCTTTCGAATTTCTCAAAAGAGTGAGATGAGCTTCGCTAACAGAAAGAAGTTTCCTGATTGTAATTTCAACCGAACTATATCTCCCATTATTGTCCATTGAGTTTTTGGTTGGCACTCCCACTAACTCATTTCTTCACTACGTTTTACTATATTATATAGTGGGAACTATTTCTCGCGTCTAGTTGTAGTAGGTTTTACGAATTAAATAAACTAATAAAGAACACAGGGGAAGAATAATGCGTTTAGATAAAGGAATTAACAACTGGGTATTTGTGATTTAAGAAACCTTTTAACTGTGGGAAGCAGTTAGAAAATAGTAACATCAACATTAAACACACTGTGATTTCAGTTTCTATACATTGTTCCGTCGATTAAAAGCGAAGTAAAGGAAAAAGAACCTTAAGAACTTACGTTGCAAATTGACCTTGTGACAATACTAAACCTTCAAGACGTATATGAAAGCGGACATCACACGAACCAACCATATTTTGAATTTTGAACTCTTTGAAATGAGCCTGAAACATATTACTTACATTATTAAACGGATATAAATTATAGTTGATTATTGTCATGGTGCAAACTTCATGAAATAAGACAGTACAAGGATTATGTGAGATAAAAAAGCGGGGCATGGATGGATGTGAAAACGAGACTACCGTTTTCACTACTAAATTAATTGTGAGTAGCTTCAATGTCACTTCCAATTGTGAAATAATCGTAGACTACAATTGATTCCATTGACTAATTTCCTAGTTCATTACATTTAATTGGTTAGCAGGATTATTAAACTACGATTAATTAGCAAAGAATAATACCGAAAATATTCGATGGTTACTGAATTCTTAATTTCAATGTTTGATATTCAAACAATCTAATCAACGCAGTTAAAATAAATTATATCAAGTTACATAAACCCCTGTGGAAGTTGTTTTAATCGAACATAAGTCACATACCACCCTTACCACATCTCAGTTTGATGGCATCTAATCTCTTCTATGTTAGCCAACATAGTACCTCGGAGTGAGTCGTGGCTGAGTGTGTATAACACAATCTTAGCCAGCTAGGAAGATGGTTTACAAACTTTTCAACAAGTCATTTTCTAATTAGTGCTCTACGTTTAACCTTAGTATTATTTCGTTAGTGGTTTTACTATGCAAAAGTAATGGTTCTACAGGTTCTTTGATCAGTTAACTTTTAAACACTAATTTCCACAGCAAGGTGGTAATAAAAAACGAATCGAACACCAGAGTGACTTTATAACACATTCACTCAACTGCAAATAAAATTCAAATATGTAGAAATGTAATAAATTGTTCTCAAACGCCTTGGTACACAGCTGAGGGTGAGAAGAGTTCACTTTACTCCTCGAAATGCTTTTATACGATAAAACGTTTATAAACTATCGAGGAAGCCCTAATATCTACCTTGCGGATAAAACCTTTAGGTCAGAGGCTCAGAGATTATCATTCTATAAAGACAACCTAGTTCAATTTGAGAATTACATATTTCATATGGTATATCCTGTATATAGTGATAAACAAAATTTAAACGGATAGTAAGAAAAAAAACACACTGCATACAATAGATAATAAAATGAAATAATTACTTCAAACCCAAGCCTTTGAATAATACGAGCATATTTTCTTGCAGCTAGTCTTGCTTGTTCTTCACTTTTTGCACCTGTACATACCATTTTACCAGAAGAAAAAATTAAAGCAGTTGTACGAGGTTCACGTATACGCATGATAACTGCAGCAAAACGTTTTGGATTATATTCAGCATTTCTAGCACTAAGTGCTATATTCTTTAAATTTAATTTACATCCTAAATATACGGTACATACAATATTCCTTATTTGAAAATAAAGAACAAGTAAAAACTAATTAACTAAGATAGAACGGTATCAATATTAATGGTAAACAATATTGAATTGACTGTAAAGAGATCAAATCACTGATAACTTTTATGAACAACTTTTATCATGAGTAAATGAATTAAATAATTTAAACTACAAACCGTTGATCTCACCTATTATCCATGTCTTTAGTAAAATAAATAATATAATCAGAACAAAGTGTGAAAAGAATTAAAGAAATTATTTACACTTACATTGAAGTCGTATGAACAAAGCATAATCTCACATCACCTGCTTCGGTTTGGGTACCCGGGCAGTATTATTATTATTATTATTTGAACACATAGATATTGGTACAAGGAGGCACCAAACACATATGCGCCACACAAATCTCATTTGGTTTATGCGAGGGATGTGATACTGCTCGGGTGCCCAAATCGAAGCAAATGGATATTTTAGGGGGCAACAACCCGAGCCTTTGACCTAAAGGTCTGATCCACAAGGCAGTGGAGCAACGTCAGGAGATGCAGTCTTATGATAGCCGGTGACTAACGATTGGTTCATACGTCATTTGTTCCCTCAGGATATTGGAGCCCATGTGCACCATTGATTTTCCAACTCCCCTAGGTGGACCCTTCGCCCCCAAATGCCCTGGTACGGCCGAGAGTGGGGGGAGTCCGCTCTCCCTCTCGAAACGCTCTCACATGGCCATGCGTATATAGCCTCTGCCAGGGAAGTCCTACTCACTGCCTTCTCCTGGCGGGGGTGTTGTTTACAAAAATGAGAGGACGAAAAGCGAATGTCCGGCGCTTTAACCGGACCCCAAACCAATGGTGCACATGGGCTGACTCCAGTATCCTGAAGGAACAAATGGCGTATGAACCAATCGTTGGTCACCGGCTACCATGGGACTGCATCTCCTCACGATGCTCCACTGCCTTGTGGGTCAGACGTTCAGGTCGAAGGCTCGGGGTGTGGCCCCTAAGAAAACCACCTGGTTCGGTTTGGGCACCCGAGCAGTATCACAGCCCTCACACAAATCAATTGAGATTCGTGTGGCGCATATGTACTTGGTGCCTCTCTGTACCTATACTTATGTGTTAAAATAAGTAAATAAATAAATAGGTGGACCCTTCGCTTTCCGTCCTCTGAATTTCGTAAACAACACCTCCGCCACGAGAATGTAGTGAGTAGGACTTCCCTGGCACAGGCTATATATGCGTGGCCATGTTAGAACATTTGGAGAGGGAGAGCGGACTCTCCCCACTCTCGGCCGTACCATGCATTTGAGGGCACCCGGGCAATATCTCAACCCTCGCACAAACCAAATGAGATTTGTGTGGCGCATATGTATTTGGTTTCTCCTTGTACCAATATTTATGTGTTCAAATGAAATAAAATAAATAAAACTAGTTGATAAGTATAGATGTGACGATTAAAAACCCATTGCAGTTAAGTACTCGCTGTTATTATTATTATTATTATCTACCCCCAGTAATTTTTATATTCAAGCAACTTTGTTGTTCTGAATTTGAAATAATATATATTTTATCTCAGTGATATTCAATGTAAGATCTGACATACATGTGCATCGGCCCAAGTAGCAATGTCACATTGGCACAACGAGATAAAACTATCAAAATTCCAGGAGTGGTAACAGTATCAGCGGAAGAAAACATTTGACATAGGATGAAGAAAAATAGTATTAGCAGACTTCAGGACTCAGAATCTAAGGGAAAACAAAGACTGAATACACCTGTACCATGACGAACTATTATGAATAATTTACATATTAATAAGATTGTCTCAATGATGTTTTATCTCATACCAGACTATATTTAGATCATAAGGAGATTATAGATTGTGGATTACAATAAACTTGAGGAAATTACAACAAAGCTGTTCACTATTGATTGACGATTATTTTTAGTCACTGAGCAGATAAGTTAGCCATAATAGGAATGTAGTACAATACAGTGGAAAATCTATAATAATATTATAATGAGATAACTAATCTAATTAAATAAAAACGATAACTGAAACAGTTAAACAGATAGTTTCTTCATAAACTAATTTCAAGATCCCAATCAACCAAGTTTCAGAAAACAGAAATATTGACCAACTGGTTGAATCTTAGCGAATAAGAAACGTAGAACCGGGTACGTATATGCATCGATCTCGGTTGACAGAAGGAGTACATCGTAGATAAAATAGGTCAACAAGTGGTATTATTTTGAGAGGTCTGTACGTAATTATGAGCGGAATATGATGACTACTACAACTACTCTACTCGACCATTGCTTCTACCTAGACGTGGTGGTCAGGCTTGCAAGCACTAATTTTAAGCTTAAGGAGAGACATCGTCTAACATGGTGACCTCCTACACTAAACTAACGATGGACTCAAATAGACCATATTACCATTAGTCATTGTTGGAGAGGATCGACGGAAGACTGACGCTCTTTTTGAAATACCTGTTTGAACTCCGATCATGCGCCTCACCAGACGCAGAAAAACTACACTAAGAAGACCCATTAGAACTGAACTCAGTGACGAGAAAGTCGAAAGTAAATTACGGGAACAACTGACGTCACACGTAGGTAGTTCTGAGAACGAATCTGACCCAGATGTTGCTTGGAAAGATAAACAAGCAGCAGTGATATCTGTTAGTGATCCAAACCACAGGGTTACAAAGAACTAATTGGTTACTTCAAGGTCTATTGCACTAATGGATTCTCGTAAACTCATTCCATCAGGTTCTGAACACGATGAAGAGCGTAAACAAATCAGATTTAGGTTAAGCAAAACTCTAAGGAACGACCGTGAGCAGTGGTGGGCAACGAAAGCAAAAGAGATGGAAAAGGCGGCGGCTATAGGGAACAGAAGATAGCTCTACAGACTAATAGAAGAAACTGGAATTAATAAGTCAAGTGTAAGTCAGACTATTTCGGAAAAAGACGACACTCTCATCTGCCCCCAGTCCAGACGTTTAGAAAGATGGGCGGTACATTTCAGAGAACAGTTCAGATGACCTTCAGCTACTCTACAACTACCCTCTATTCCCAGACAGTATGAATGGAACATTAAAGTAGGTCTCCCGACTCTAGCTGAAGTTCAAAAGGCAATAGCTAATCTGAAACGAGGAAAAGAAGCTGGTCCATAGGTCTTTAAAAGTATGGTGGTCCAGTTTTAGCGATTAGGTTGACTAATATTTTAGCTAAAATCTGGGAGTTGGACGTAGTCTCATCTGACTGGTCTCAATCACTGATTGTCCCAATATATAAGAACGGGTCAAAATCATCATGTATTAGTTTGACTGATATAGCATCTCAATAATTATCGGGCGTCTAACAAAGACTCGTGAACTGCAAACACGAGATAATCAGGCTGGCTTCAGACCTAGTCGTGGCTGCATCGACCACATATTCACTATTCGTCAGGTTCTAGAACACAGGCATACTTATCGGCGTCCGACAATGGTCATCTTTCTTGACTTAAAAGCATCATTTGACTCTGTTGACCGAGAGGTTCTGTGGCAGTGTCTGTCAGTGAAAGATATACCTCAGAAATACATAAACCTTGTGAAGGCTCTTTACTCGAGCACTACTAGTTGAATCAGAGCTTTTGGTGAGCTGTCATTTGATTTTGCAACCTTAAGTGGTGTCCGTCAAGGCTATCCACTATCTCTATTTTTGTTTAATTTCATCATAGACCTACTGATGGAAATAACGTTCTCGTCGACTCAATTTTTGGGCACTGATCTCGTACCAGGAGGTCCACTTATCGACTTAGAATACCCAGATAATATTGTCCTATTTGGCGAAGACGATGATAAAATACAGAGTCTTCTGGTAGCACTGAACAACAATGCCAGGATGTGTGGGATGCTTTTCTCCCCCTTTAAATGCAAGTTGTTGCTTCAAGACTGGTCTGCGTCAACACCTGAATTAAGGATAGGGAGCGAAGTAGTCGAACGCATCTACAAGTTCACTTATCTTGGAAGTCTCATCAGCCATAATGGGTTGGTGTTCGACGACACCTCTGCACGGATTCGAAAAGCTCATTTGGCATTTGTCAACTTACGTCACCTATGGCGAAGGCGAGATATCCGTCTATTAATCAAGGGAGGAGTATACTGTGCAACAGTTCATTCTGCTTTACTTTACGGCTGAGAAACGTGGCCGTTAACGGTTGAAGATACTCGTAAGTTACTAGTATCTGATAACAGATGTCTCAGCAATATAGCTCGCATTTCCTGGGATCACCGGGTAAGTAATAGTGAGGTTAGATGCAAGGTATTAGGGAATGATTGTAAATCAGTTGATGATGTAAATCTTCGTCGACTGAGAGGGTTGAACCACATGTTACGTATGCCCAACCACCGATTACTACGACACGCAATGCTGACTACTGTTGGGGATTGTTGGAAGAAAGTTAGGGGCGATGAAACCAAAACGTGGCATCAGTAATTGAAGTCACTAACTTCAGTTTTGAGCCATGTTGGTAGATGCAGACTACTTGTTTGAGGTGCGCGTGACTACCGTAACCAATGGTTGGAGACTCTGTGTGACCTGGCTCAGAATCGATCACAATGGTGTATGTGCATAACCTCTCTATTTTCCCTTAAACTGTGAGATTAAAATCGGTGTATATCTTTCTTTCTACCAACTAATTCTTTCTTCCTGAACTATATCCTTATATAATCTTTCTTTTATGTATTAATATCATTTAAGTAACTATATGAATTCGGTGTTCATCTTGTTGTGCTAATAAGGTGTGGCAACTTAAACCAATACATATATGTGCCTGGTCCCACATTGTAGCCGACTGACTGACAACTACTCTAATTAGTGAATAATTCGTACATGTACCATCACAAGTTTCAGGTTACTTGTTGTAGAACTAGAAGACGACATTTTAATTGGTTGAACTTACTGTAATTGGGGTACCGGGATCGCACCATCTCGGTCTTGCAACGGAGTAGATAAAGTGAGCGGAGTACAAGGTGTTCTACCTGGAATGCTGGCGGCATTGTCAGACACATTTAAGTTAAGATTGACTGAACCCCCAGTGATAAGTGGCGTTTTTTGTTGTAAACTTGAATCTCCTTGTAAAGGCAAATTGCCCAACAAGCTTCCAATACTAGCTACACTGTGTTGCTGTGATAAGGGGCTGTAATGAAAAAAAGAGCTATGAATAAGAGTTAATTATAAGATACCAATTTTACTTGTTAGAATGATGTGCATGACAATAAATTCTGGTAAACTATAAGATATAAAGTGTAGGTAGTGTACGTACCACAAAACCACATTTTAAAAAATAAGTTACACTAAATAGTAATCATTAAACATACTTTCTTAATAAAGCATGTTAGTCAATTCACAATATACGTTTCTCATTCGGTTAATAAAGTTTCCGAGAAAAAACATTAATGCAAAACAGTTATACAAAATGACCTGCTTTGTGAGGTCATTATTCATTGATCAAATACACGAGCATGAATGGACGTTACTTGGTTAGAATCAGTCATACATACAGATCAATAGTGAGAAAAGCCGAAATATAGGAAACCAAAGTTTATCCATGTACAGTAAACTTATTACAAAGTTTTGTTGTAAGACTATCCCAACACTTTACAGTTACTACCGCCTTTTCTTGTTTTCATTTGAGATGACTTCTCTTACCGTTTTGGTACACGATAATTCGACTTATTAGGATTTTACAAGAACGGAAGAGTACCAAGATGCCATTGTATTGAATGTAATAACCTGAAACGATGCATTACTTAATGAAGTCAAATTTTGTGGTAGTTACTCGTAGCATAAAGTGTTTCGCTATTGAATGCATCAAAGTTTGGATTGCTAAATGCTATGAAAAAGTACCACTTCACAAAAAATTACATTAAACTATAAGTAATCATTGCAACATAAAATTACAATTTAGTTTTTCATTGAAAGCACAACAATATTTGAAGTTCGCAAGCACATACTTTATTTTTAACTGCTCCACAACTAGACACTACAAAACTTTCGTTTCACTTTCCTCTGAGTCAGTACATGAGTGGGATATAGGATAATGTAGTATCGAGTTTTAAAGAACATAGGAGCAGACAGTTTTATAAACGGTATTGATCACAGTTCCTACTTGCTTTGGATCTTAGTCATATAGGTCTTTTGGGTGAAATACTTAGGGTTAAGATGTACGGGATGCAAATGTCGCTAAAAACCCTAGCACCCAGTATTGTCTATGTTTTTAGACAAATCATGGTGGTTATAGCTGTCATTCAAATTGAAGCAGGCATATAAAAACCAAAGATTGCAACAAATTTGGCACCAGATACAGTTAAATTAGTATCGCCAGCTATTGTAAATAACATACAACAACATACGGTAGTGAAACCTGAATAGTGTTAAGTTAGTGGTGTCCTTGAAACTACAGGACTACACTAACCAGTTCTACGAGACAGCCAAAAAATAGGAATATCAAAACAGTACGGCGCATAGTCGGATATCATAGTTTGAGAACGAATGTTGAATTACTTACCTACTATTTACTACAGCTCTAACTACCAGTGATCTACATGAGTATGATCCAGAGATTCGAGCAGGGAGAAGCTAACCATCTCAATAAAAAGGTAGACACTACCGTTAAGCAGCAGTTACATAATTCATAACACACACAATTCAATCATACTTTGGATCCACATGTGGCTGTTAACATTTTACGTCTATCCTCGTTCTGGAAATGCTGTTAAGGACCAATATATATATTCGAAAGTCAGTCGAGTCACCACTAAATGTGAATTATTACTTCCTAAACCTCTATTCATGATGATAAGGCTGACTATAAGGGAGTGAATATTAAAGGTATTTGCGACATTTTATCTATAAATATGAAGTGATCGGGAAATTATGGTAAACAGAGCACTAGACTTAAGCAACAAAAAACACACCCGCTCAATACTTACTTCATAGCAGAACAGTCCAACCAGAAGAATTATTTACCTAGAACAGTGACGTCGTACTATGTCCGAATGAATTCAAAATGCTATGAGCGTCAAATCTCAACAAACTATTAGCCATCCTGTCGTTTAGAAGCGCATTATTTGGTTTCAGTACGGGACTTTCAATGCCCAATCGATTGTAAATATAACTGGACGGAAGAGATGAAACTTACGTTTAACGAGTTTATGTGTATAGCATCAATCGATCACTGATAACCTCAGGTAGGAGGCAGAGATATCACTAAGTTGGTATGATACGAAATACAGACAAATAGGTTTTTAGTGAATGGGGACATATCCAAACGGGAATTACATTGTTTGCACGCGTTGTTTGCAACATGTTTCAAACAGAATGCTATACACTCCGGAGTTGAAGATGGTACATAACATAAGCATATCGATCTGCATCACTGTGAGGTCATTTTGAAATACGATATCTTACTACACTTGTGACTGTCAAATGCCTTAGTTCGGTTAATATTGGTTCATTTGCATACAGTTATTTGACTCATTTGAATGCCTCGTACATGAGTCATTCCCATGTCCCTTTTTTGATTGTCTGTTTATTTAGTCATCCATCTGTTGGTCGTGGTCCATTATTGTGTAGCGGTAAATAAACCCCCCAAATCAATAGCTCTGTGAGTGTTCGAAATTTGATGCAAACCGCATTATTTTTATTGGACTCACCTAGCTGGAGGCCCTCGGTCATGTATCCACACCAGATCGTCAGTGGAGACATCGTGTTTCACATCTCCTACGACCGCTAACCAATTTAGATTTGTTACTTCTCGATATATCGATAGCTTATCAGCTATATCTTCGAACCTCTTCGCTTCTGACATCTGATTTGACTGGGTTTGCATATTTTGGTTACAAAAGATGTTATTCGTCAAGGTGTTGTGAAATTCTGAATGCTTGTGCATCTTTAATTACGTTGAACGACTAATAACTGAGACACACTAATGAATTTACATTCTGGATAGTTCCAATTCGTTTTGACACAATACAGATTAAATGGTGGTTCAAATGGTTCAAATGGTTGCGGACGGAATAGAAGAAGCTTTCGCTTAACAGGCTTCCGTGTCTAGTAGCAGGGGATCACCAATACCTCCAGGCAAGAACCTAGGTATATTAACGATAAAAGAGAAAGAAAATGAATTGGTAAATCATAGTAGGATACTATCCTTAGTCCTTAAGAATAGATCAAGTCGCCTCTTAAAGGACTCCTGGGAAGTTGCTTGGACTAGCTCAGCTGGCAGCGAATTCCAGCATTTGACAACTCTTAAGGAGTAGAAATTGTGTCTGCAGTCCGTTCTACTATGTTGTATCTCCAGTTTCTGGGTGCTACCCCTTAGGTTAGTGTTGGGACTAAGCTTAAGTAGGTGTTTAAGAGGATGTCCAGGTGTGTTAAGGATACTGTAGGCCATTAGAAGGTCACCTCTAAGACGCCTATACTCTAATGGGTAAAGGTCGAGTGATTGGAGGCGCTCATCCTAAGGTTTAAATTTGAGTCCCCGAACTGATTTCGTGGCTCGCCGTTGGATACGCTCCAGAGTGTCCTTATCCTTTTGGAGTGTAGGAGGGAACACTATGTTCCCGTACTCTAAATGGGGACGAATGAAACTATTGAAGATTATGTGGAAAGTTCTCCCGTCAAACTGACCAAAAATGCGCTTCAATGTTACCAGTGCAAGGTTTGCTCTAAAGGTATTTTTGTCACAGTTGGCGTAAGACTTTAAGTCGTAGGGCACCAGAACTCCTAAATCTTTTTCGACTCGAGATACTACTAGAGAGGAGTTTCCTAAGTTGTAACTGTAATCTGCGACGTGTCGCAGATGGACTACTCTACACTTTGAAGTGTTAAAGGTAAGTCCGTTATCATCTGCCCAACTTTGAAGTCGAGTCAGATCCTCCTGAAGTGCCTGTATGTCCTCTTGGTTGCGTATCTCTCTCCAAAGTTTCACGTCATCGGCAAAGAGCAGTATGTCTGACGTTACCTGTTGAGGAAGATCATTTATATAAATCAGGAAGAGGAGAGGTCCTAGTACTGAGCCCTGGGGGACCCCACTAGAACATTCCATAGCGCGTGAGAAATTGAAGTTTACCCTGACCTTAAAATGTCGATTTGTGAGATATGAACTGAGCCAGTCAATTAAAGGTGGTTTGATTCCCAATTGTTTGAGCTTGTTAATAAGACATGTGTGGTTAACCCTATCAAAAGCTTTAGAGAAATCAAGGTAAATAATGTCTACCTTCCCCTTGCGATCAACGATGCTTGTCCATCTGTCCACCGCGGTCAGCAGGTTCGTCATACAGGAATAACCCTTCCTGAATAACCCTTCCAAAACAGTCACGGATTTATTCCACACAATACGATTGCTAGATATTGTGTTGACAGTATTATTCCTATTCTAATAAAACTGCTTGTGATTTATGGTGCCAGTGTCAATATAAATTCATTGCAGTAGTTAAGAGTTCTAATTATGATGTTGTTCCGAAAACGCACGTAAAATTTGATTGAATTGTGTCAACTCAGTCCTATTACACTTTGGTAAATTGTTACTGCTGTAAGCAATAGTGGATTCATGTAATTTTACATACCTTCATAAACATTCGTATTCTGGTTCTCACATGATTCATTTTTTCTCGGTCATCGTATATACTAAGCACCCACTGTTTTTCATCTTACCTCAAGGTGTATTTGAATTTTTCGGAAGCATTAACTTTTTGTTTTGATTGAAACCTTCCCTCAAATGTTATACAATGTCAGTGAAAAGTTATATTTTAAGAGGCCCTTCATAAAGAGGACAATTTGTGTAAATCAGCAGCAACGTAGATTATAGTGCTGAAGACCTGTGTGTTTGGTGCTACTACACACGCACTTATTTAGAAACCCATACTGCATGTGACTATTAAGTCATTTCTGTTTCATAATATCTCTTTTGTTTTCATAGAAAACGATGACATTCAAAACACACACATCTTGTTTTTATGTCCTTGTGTTTCTATGCTTAAGATACTTTCTTGTACTTAAGTTTGAGTCCGTCATTTATTTTAACTACTGTCTCTCTCCATCACACTACGTATTATGTATTTTGAATCATATTAGCGCTTGTAATCAGTGGTATGGACGAGTTTAGTTCTTTATGTTCTCTGGTATTTGGCTTTGAATTAAATGCTTTCGAATTATCATACAAAGCGCGCTTTAATTATAAATTTTTGTTATATCACAGTGAGTAGGAAAATTGTATTTCTGACGTTTACTTACTTCATAAAAGTCATTTCTTTACAGCAAATAAATCACCGATATTTGATTATTTATATAAGTTATATAATATACCCTTGTGGGCCAGGGTAATTTTACACTGATTTCAAGAAGAACCAGACACCATACAGACTTTCATGTGACAACTCAAACAGTACAGCTCAATCCCGTTTAACAGAAGAGCCAGACACCGCCCAGACTTAAATTTTATAACCCGAGCACTACAGCTCAATCACGCTTTACAGATGAACCAGATACCATATAGGCTTTAACGCTACAATCTGAATAGTACGGTCGGAGTCTGTGGTGCAACCACACTGGTAGCAAACACTCTGGTGGACCAGACATTAGATCAACACAAGTTTAAATATTACAAAGTAAACAATGCAAATGCCTAACGCTCAATTAATTGGAAACTATCAAGTCCAATTTTGATATAGATACTAATAAAGTGTGTCTTAATTTCATTCTTTCATTGTACACAATATACTTGAATCTGACCTAGGCCATTCGACAATGATGAATATTCTTCCTTCTTATTTCTGTGTTACCCACATTCTATTCACTATAAACATTTTTCCATAAACTCGGAAATAAAATTGTTTGATATATCAATCTCATTTGTGGATCATTCATAGGTAATTAGTTTTAAGTTAACCGCTTACAAAATATCTTATATCTCTCTTGATACAAGCAATAAATCTATACAAATCATAGATTTTTTGATGAAAGCACAACTAATACAAATACTATATCAATTCATATATAACCAGTCAATCGAACAAATTACTTACAAAGGTCTTTTTTTAAAGAACATTTACAAGTCACTACCCAGTGATTAATCGATCGTAAACATTGAGAAATTTTTATTACCTTTTGTTTTTACAAACTACAATATAATAGGTATATAATGAATATTCCACTGAATAGCTGAGTATATTTATGTCCCTAAGTATTATTTGCTTCCCCTTCCCATTTCTAAAGTTTTGAAAAGAAATAGTCAGTAAGGAGGAGAAGAAGAAGATGTAGAATTATGGTCTACTCCGATATTAGTACCACTCTAATAACAGACCTAATCTTAAAATTGTAGATTTGTTATGATGTAACTGTCTAATCTATAAGATCTTACAGGGACGTCACATGATTGTCTACCCTGATTTATCGTATCGTAACGATTATTAATATATGGTGAAGAACACACTTAGATTAAAGACAGAACAATATATTTAATATGGATAAAAACAATGTTACATAAGATCACGCTTGCAAAGTCGAGCTATGCTATCCGATCAATTCAAATTAACTCAATTCATTGTTTCCGCTTTCTTCATCGTTGGGTTTTTCTCCGCATTAAACGTTGAATATTTATTTTCCCAGCTATCTTATGTTCAGCTTTAAGGATTTTGTGGTTAGGGCCCAATGCCATTACAAAAAATGTTATCAAGTTTGTTTATTGTTTTGTACTATAAATCATTTATGATTCATTTTAATACTTGACATATTTATCATGTACAAGAACAGTTTCTGATCTCTTAGAGAAGTACTTATACAATTTTGGAGATGTTAGGTGATCAGAAATCACCTGATTAATTCCTTATTTTTGTAATTTAAATATAGAAAGTTGGATTTTCCATTTTCCTGCCGAAATTGGCTATGATTACCTTCGATTTGTGATTTTCATCTGGAAGGATCGAAAGCGTCATTGGATCATTTTGGCTTTTTAAAAACATATTGGTAATGTATACATTACGTATAAATCGAGTGTTTGTCATTTATTTTTCCGCAACGCTTGTGGAATGATATGTTTTGCCTGATAACTCTGGTCTACTTCTAATAACCTGGGATGGAGCGTAAAGGATTAAGTATTCCTTCAATTAATTAATACTATAAAAAGTTGAAGCCCAGTTGGCGAACTGATCAATTATTTCTTATGAAAGTCTGTTGTTTATACGAAATTTATTTTTTACAGTGTGAGAGATAATTTTGAGAATTGTAGCTAATCAAGAAGTCCAGTAATCTTAATTGAACTAAGGATATTTCAGTGGTTCAGATCATGAGTCAATTGAAGCCAGATCATAATGGAAAACCTGGAAGCACTGAACGGCTGTCTTTTTCTAGTATGGGACTCGTCAGCAGTGCTTATTAACGAT